GCAGCCCTGCTCTCCCGACCGGCTTTGGGGACGTTGGCCTGCAAGCACTTGCCATGGAGCTGCTTCCGCACCGCAAAGAGGAAGCAGTGTGCTGGGGCCCGGCCGCAGGCACCCAGCTCCTCCGCTGCGACGCGCAGCCCTGGGCGCCTCCCTCGCAGCATGGGACTCAGCACCCCTGTGCGCAGCACCGCGCGCAGCAGGGGCCCCGCTGGGAACAGCTGCGTGAGCACCCACCTGCTGGCTCTGCTACCCACCCCATGAGTCTCCTGCTGCCCTGTCCCAGCTCACAGAGCTGCACTTGGCATTGGCAGCCGGTGCCTCTGCCCTGGCTCTGCCCCATGGGAGCAGGGGAAGTGATACTCAAGTGCAGTATATACCGGGTAAGGGGTGCCGTGCAAGCAGCCCCATCCCTGCGGCTGCAGGCAGAGCTGGGTGCCTGCAGCCTCCGCTCTGCTGCACTTCTGCCAAGGCGGCTGGGGCGGGCCTGTGGGACGGGATGAACTGGGACAGGAAGCGAGGAAGGAACTGATGCTAGAGGCGGATGGAGGAGCCTCGTCCTGCCTGTGCAGTGCTGGGTACCGCAGATGGCGGGATGGCTGGTGGCCCGCAGGGAAGCAGTTTCAGTGTGTGCCAGGCACAGGCGTTGGCAGGAGTGAGTGACTGGCACCATGAGGAACAGGAGACTCTGTGGGGCTCAGGCCCACGTGTGTGTTGGCACAGGCAGTTGGTTACCGGGCGTGCTGGGGCAGCACTGACTGCCTCTGAAATGGGACCTCTTTGCTCCTTCCCCCTCTTCCACAGAGAGGGGCTGTGTGTGTGAGTATCCCTATGACAGCCTTGGAGCCACCAAAACTCTTACACATTGGATAATAGAGATGAGGAGATACCTCCGTTCTGCTGGCAAAAGGGAGCCAGAAATTCCCCAGATCCCTCTGGAGTGAGGAGGGAAGGAGAGTGACATGATTCTGAGGCCCAAGAGCTCCCTCCTTCACGTAGAGCTGCCTGGGAGGGAGGCAGCCAGGCCATGGTGCAGGCCTGGGCTCAGCACCCTGGTCTGCCTTGGTGCTGGTGTGCAGCTGGGTTTGCTCATGCTCCTGCCCCACCACAACATCGTTCTGCTGCCCAGTGCAGAGAGAGAAGCCTCACTTCAGTCAGGGAAGGGTTAACAGCTCCAACACCAAAAAAGGCTGATGTGATGAGGATGAGGGAAGAAGTGAGGCTGGAAAACCCAGGCCCTGAAAGGACAGGCAAGTCTCAATCCTGCTGGGCACCCAGCACCACTGCGCACAAAGTGTTCCAAGGTCGGCAGGGGTCCCCACCTGTGCAGGGCTGGTGCTGCTGGGGGTGATGCTGGGGCCACCAGCGGGCGCACAGGTGCAGTGGCACCCGGGAAGGGCCCTGTCGCCTTCGCTGCAGCGTTGGACTTAGCCCTGGGAGCGCCGGGAGCTCCTGGCCCCACGGGCTGGGGACTGCCTGAAGCGACCTGTCTGCGTCACCTGCGCAGGAGTCATCATGGTCACCCACGGAGGTGGTCAGGAACTCGCTGCAGAGTGGGATTTTGGTCGTGGTTCCTCCGCAGTTGCCCTCAGCAGGGCCCTGGTGGTTCGGACAGCTCTGATAGCTGCAGGTCCTCGGCGAGGGAGCTCTGTTGGGCCCGAGTGCATCTGCAAACCTGCATCACTGCTCTGTTGTCTTCCCATTTGTGACCGTCTCCTGATGTGGACCTTTCCCACCTCGATTGTAGGCCTGGATTGGGGATGTGCGAGCCGGCTCTGCCGTGTCCTGCGGGAACCACGTGAAGGCCAGCAGCCAGTGGGTCGCCTTCAGTGCCGACACGACAGGTAAGGTACAAGGGAGCGGGCACAGGGCGCGTTGGGATGTGCAGCTCCCAGGTGTGTTTGTCCCTGATGCTGGCACTGCAGTTCCCTGAGGAGGGGACTTCATGGGAGCTCTTGCTCTCCTGTGTTGGGCTCTCGCAGGCTCTGAGCAGCCCCAGTGCTTGGCAGCTGGAGGGCAGCGGGTGACCTGCCCTGGGGTGTCTCCTGCAGGTGTGCTGGGCATCGTGCCACTGGAGGGCCAGAATGGAGACAAGAGGACAGTATCTCAGCTCTGCTGCCACTCAGGTGAGCTGGGTATCCTCCCTGCCTAATCCAGCTCGTCCCGTGTGTGTGCAGCCCTCTGTGCCAAGGGGCACCAAGGAGCTCACTGCCACATCCCATCTCCACAGCAGGCATCTGGCCCAGCTCAGGCAGTGCAGAATGATTCAGGTGCTGATGTTCAGCTATGACTCAGTCATTGCTGTGCCAGGTTGTATTTTTCCCAGACTAGAAGCTGAGTGAGCTGGTAGAGTCCCCAGGGACCCTGATGTGCCTCTCTCCTGTTCAATCCCTGCTGGATTCGGAGTGATGGAGCCAAGAGCTGCCACCCGTGCCTTGCACATGGACCTGCCCTGGCACCCTGCAGCAGAACGAGGGACTTGGGTCCTCCATGTGCGGTGTCTGAGCAGCCCAGGGAGCTGGGGTGCTGCTGAGCAGGAGGTTTGGGAGCTGCCTGGCAGCTGGCCACAGTGAATGTGCACAACAGTGCGGGCCCAGCTATCACTGAAGAGCTGAACTAAACCCGAGCCCTTCGTCTAGGGAGCTGCAGAGGGGCCTGAGCATGTAGCTGTCAAGATCTTGGAGAGCTCGAGCTCTTCCTTTGTGCACCCTTCCCATGCTGCTCGTTGCAACATGTTGCCCAGAGCACCCCAGCACAGAACATGAGCGGGAGAAGCGCCCATGTGCGTAACTCTAGCCCTCATTAACTCGAGCAGCCTGTGCAGAGGCGCTCGCCCCACCGAGATCGGTGCAGGGAAGGAGCAGGGGGTGCCGGGCAGCCCCCACGATGCCCCTCTCCTGGTGACGGAGTGGCACTGCCAGCCTGGGCACCTTGGCAGCACAGGCTGCTGTGCCACAGTGACCAAACTCACTCGGTAATTGAGGCAGACCAAGCCGGTGAGCTGGAGTCTCCGTCCCCACAGTGCCTGCGTGGGCAGTGCCAGGGCAGGTGTTGGCTGCTGAGCAGGCAGCCTCCAGATGTGGCATTGCCAGCAGTTTCGCTGCTGCCTGCAGCTCGCCTGCCTTCGGAGGCGCTGGCGTTTGCCTCCCACTGGCCTTCCTCCCACGCCCCTGGCCGCTTTGAAAGCGAGGAATGCCTGGGCTCTGCCCTGGCAGAGTAACACATGCCCCGGGCTGGCTGCCCTGAGTGCCCCCGCTGCAGCAGAGAGGGCAGCCAAGATGCCACTTAAACAAGGAAGCTTTAAACTTGCCAGCTGCTCCAGGCTCCCGGTCATGCCAGGTCCTTGCCAAGGGTTGCCCTTTCCCTGCAGCTTAGCCCAGGATCTGCTGGGATCCTTCCCAGGGTGTTCCCAAACCATCACCCTTCCCACATCGCCCGCCAGGCCAAGGCGGGTCCCTGCAGGCTGTGCAGAGGGACGCCCTGCACAGACCTTTCCTGCAGGAGCGTGACTACAGTTGGCATGGAGATGCTGAGCGCAGGTGGGAATCCAGGGAGAGATTTCAGGAAGCAGACTCTTCTGTTGGCTGGGGGAGGATTTTAGACACTTGGAAGCTTTTTGACAGCCACAGCTTTGTATCTCTGTGTCCTGCCCCTGGACAGGTGTCCCCATGGCACCGGAGAAGTGCTCCAGAGTGCGGGTGAGGAAGCAGCACAGGGTGCTAGTGACTGGCACATGGGCGCAACAGCACTTCCCACTAATGAACTTTTGGTGCAACCCCTTTGAAGGTGGCTATGCCTGAGAAACGCCTCCCTTCTCTGTTCCAAGCAGGGGAGGATTTTTTTTCCCCTCCTCCCAGGGCAAATGGAGCAGATAAGTCGGAAGCTGGAGTACGCTGCTTTCTTTTCGTGCCCTGTGGGCTTGTATCTCGGCAGCCTCGCAGAAGCGGAAAAGTACACAGTGACCTACTTTCTTGATGTGCCAAATGCAGCAGAGGGGCTGTTAATGATGGAGGCAGCCTGCCTTCCCCAGGGCCCCGCTGCCAGTGTTACACGGAGCGGCTACGGTGTCGGCACGCTGCGCTGGGCGCCACAAAGGCAGCCTTGTTACCAGCACAGCCCTCACCGGCCTGGGCCTCCGTCACCGGCACAAACACCCTTGCGCATGTGGGGCTGCCCCGTTCAGCCCCAGCCTTGGCTGCCAGCGCTGCAGACCGGAGTCGGCAGACTCCTGGGCAGGGCAGTTTCCCTTGTGCCCCTTAATCAGTGTGGTGTCCCAGGGCAGGTAGCAAAGGAAACGGAAAGTCAGGGCTTGTACCCCGGGTTTGCTGCAGTTCGAGCCACTCTGTTCAGGCCCTTTGCTGTCAATGAAACGCGGTTGTTGCAGTTAATTCATAAAGCCATGTGGGAAGGTTGTCAGGTTGTGCGGGTGTCTGGGTCTATCCTTGCTCCCAGCACTGTGCATGTGTTGCTGTACACTCCGTGTCCTGCCACGCACGACATTCAAAGCTCTCTTGAAAAAAAAAAGCCAAAGCTGAATGGTGGCAGTTTAGGTGGGGAAGCGCAGTTGTGCAGAGCTGCCTCTTGGGGTTCTTGTCCACGTGCCTGGGAAGACAAAGGGACACCAGGCCCTGACGTGCCGAGCCAGCGGCCAGGCTGAAATAGCAGAATCAATGGGCTCTGAAATGCCTCGGTGGGGCTGGTCACGGCCGTGAGCTCCAGGGTGGTGTGTGTGTGTTGAAAGGGCCTGTGAGCAGGGAAGAGCCAAGCAGAGAGCGAGCATGCTCCCTGCAGGGAACTCGGAGCGCGGTGATGCTGACACAAGCCTCTGCTCCCTTCCCTTCCAGATGTGGTGACAGACTTTGACTTCTCGCCATTCGATCAGTTCCTGCTGGCCACGGGCTCTGCCGATGAAACGGTGAGTGTTTAACACCGTGGGGACCCACGGAGTCATGGTGGGACTCTGGTGTTTCTCTTTGTGGCTCGTTGTTCTTTGGAAGAAAGGCTGGGATACTGCAGGAAAATGGATCTGGAAAGATGGAAAAAAGAGCCTGGGCTGGAGGGTGCTAGCCTTGAAGAAAGGTATGGGAAGTCCCCAAACCATGAGGGATGGAGTAGATGACATGGGGACACGGAGACTCGGCTTGGTGGGTGGGTGCAGCAAGAGAAGCGCCTCCCCTCGCTGAGCTCATTGCCGGGCTGCAGGTGAAGGTGTGGCGGGGGGGCCCGGGGGCGG